ATTGCCTTACATGTATTGCAGAGACCTTGGAAGAGCTGAGTGTTAGTAGCCTCAAAGCTGGTAGGCTTAAATGTAACGATAAGTGGGACCTTGGGCTTGTTTTTTTAAGGAAAATCCTGCTCCTTCTCCTTTCTCACAAGATTGTTGAGCATTGTTACTTTTCTCAGCATTTGATTTAATTTTCTTTCCTCTCTTTTTTTTTTTTTTAATTTAAGAGAAAAAAGCAAATTAAATGGAACTGATCTTTCATTAGAAATCCATTGATGGAGCAGATATGATTAAAAACAGGTTGTCTAGAAGTGAAGGCAACACCAGCCAGAGAGGAAATGCTGCCAGCTTGCCCTCCCAACTCTAATCTCTGATTTCAAGCTATCACATGAAGCAAATCACCAAACAATATGAACAATAATGAAGGGGTGTTTAAGAAAGAAAGATGCCATTTGGGGGGGGATTACTGGATGTGAATGATATCTCTCCCAGCTCTTGGCAAAGAACGAATTGCAACTGCATTGTTGTCAAATCAAATATTCCTAAAGCACCCCTAGGGATTGTTTTGCAATTTTGTTAATATTTTAAAAGCATCCCTTGATCTCTCCCATGCCTGCCTGCAGCTATGATTTCATTCTTCTCTGAAACAGATGTCTTCTCTCTCTCTCTTCTTCCCTCTCTCCCTTCAAGTGTTCACCTTAATAAGGTGTATTATGAACAATTGATTTTGAAGCCCATAAGCACATGGAATTCACCAGGAGACAGAGCACTTTAATTCTGCCACATTTAGAGAACCGGCCTTTTAGCCAACACTGGTCAGACACAAGTATAAGAAACTTCTCAGAAGAAAATCAACAGAAAACAAACAAACAAAAACTTTCCCTCGGAGTCACTTGGAGGAAAGAAAAGCAGAGCATGATTGCTCAGAGCACTCTAATGGCCTGGTTCTGAAAGCCTGTCTCCAAGATGAATTTCCAGCATTGTCTTAAAGTACTTACGAATTACATATTACACAAGGGACAAACTTAGCAGGTCTTGACCTAGGAGAAGGGGTAATAGTTTTAAAGTAAAAGATAGTCAATTCAGATTAGATATATGTAAGAAGTCTTTTAAAATTAGGGTGGTGAGATACTGGCACAGATTGTCCAGGGAGGTGTTAGATGCCCTATCCCTGAAAACACAGAAATCCAGGTTGAATCCCTGAAAACATTAAAATCCAGGGTCTCTGACCAGTCTGATTGAGTTGAAGATGCCCATGCTCATGACAGGGAAGTTGGATTAGACATCCTTTAAAGATTCCTTCCAACTGAAATCATTCTATGAGTCTATGATTTTTTGAATGCAAGCTGAATAAGCTAGTATTGGAAGTGCATGCCAACAAATTAATCAAAGCCTGGGCTCTTTGTGAAAAAACACAGCAGAGACCTAATCAGACTGAGGGTACCTACCTCAGCAGCATTTATGCTGCTGTTTATCTTCAGGATGGTTGATGTAGAGGTAGGGTCTTCCCAAAGACCAAGGCTGTGACTTTGCTTGACATCCGTAAAGTGCCATCCATCAAGTGAATTAATTGTGAATCACAAGATGATAGAAAGAGTGGCCGAGGTAGGTCAAATGCTCTGGCCCTGGTCAAAGCACAGGCAACGAAGCGGTACTGTTCATAGCAATGACCCATGCTCCTGTCTATCCATCAGAATAAAAAGGATGAGTTTGTTTTCTGGCTAAGCCCTTTCTACTTATGAGTTTCTGTTTGTTTTTATTAATTTTGTGGTTCTCAGATGTGGATATCCCACCAAGGTAAACAGGAAGGTAGAATAATTAAAGAATTTTGCACTCATTAGTTATAGAGGTTTACTTGTTGAGCTGTTCATGTGATTAATAAAAAGGCCTTCTCATTAAAAAAATCTATGAAATGACCACAGACAGTGTGTTGCAAAGCAGAGCTCCAGTTGCATCTGGGGAAGCAGAGGTAGAGGAAGAAAATTAAGGGACAAACACAGGTGGTGAAACACTGGATGTCTCAGCTGGCAGAAGAACAAGAGACTGAACAGAGATCTTCTGTTTCCCAGTCTAGACCTAGCCTAAGTCTTACAGTCAGGCTTGTTTCAACTGTGAGATGCTTATGCTTTTCTGTCACTGAAGAGTAAGCATTATCCACCAGAGAGCATGTTTTCATACCAATCTTGTAGGCTTAACAGCTAAAATCCCTCTTTTCCTTCCTTGCCTTTTATGTCTTGGCTTTTTTCCTTCCTAGTTAAGTGTATTCAAATATGCAGACGCTTCATGAAACTCAAGAGTGGATGTTTCAGTGGTGACTTCACATGCTCCTTCTAAATTTGTCTATTAAACCTTTTTCTTTAATTGTCTTTTAAATAAAACAGAGCTGTATTGTTGGACATTTTTTTTTAACTGTATTGCTTTTCAGGTCTCATTTAATATGTAGACTCCAGACAGAAACTGTCAGACATATGTTTTACCTCTCTAGAAATACAGATTGACAGCTGAGGATTGGGCAAATTCTGAAGTTGGAAGCAGACTGATTCACAGAGTAAGATAACTGTTGCTATTTCAGATCAGATTAGCTTGAAAGATCATCCAAAGACAAGCCTTTCTGCAGGGAGACACCTGTCCACCACTGGGTTGTGGACATCTTCCAGGTGGGTCATGTTCCATGGGTCTCTTGTGGAGGACATTGTGGTCCCAGGACAATGAAGGTCCTTCCTGTGGGGCTCAAATCTAAGCAGGAAACACTCTCATATCATCTAAGAAGTTAAGGTTATGCAGAGGTTGAAGGAGCCTGCTCATTTGGCAGGCACAGAGAGAGAGGACAGTATACATTAACCAACAGAAGTTAAGAAGAAACCTTCAATGGGTGTGGTCATCTTACAGCGACCATAGAGTTTACCTTCCCAAATCAAGAGAATCAGCCTCCAGTACAATGAAAGGAGTAAACAGGACTTGAACATGCATAGGAGCTTAAAAAAATGGAGTGTGTTCCAGGATCTGAAATGTAAACAGGAGAAAAATTTGGTGTCAAAGCTGTAAGAGGCAGTAAAGGTTGCCCAAATCAAGGAAGAGACTGGAATGGTGGAAGAAACAGGCATCAGAACTGCAAGCTGTGTATCCAGAGCATTTGTTTCTGAAAGGCTTTAGCAGTCTGAGTCTGGCAAGTGCTGCTAACCACTTGCGAGCTGGTTGATAAATGGGTCAGATGCATTCTGTCACGCTTGGCTGGGGATACTGGACATGAAACAGAGAAAGGGATTGGTGTAGAGTAGAAGGTCCCTGTAGCCCATACTGTTTATGTCACTTCCCTGTGAGCCATAGTACCTTGAAGAAGAGCCTGGAAAAGACTGTGCAGCGAAGATAACCAGCTGTGTGATATTCCTCAAACATCCCTTAGATTATGACCTGAGCCACTGAAATGCATGTCAAAGAGTGATAGCAGGGTGCTCATGTAATGATTGTTATCTTCTTAATTATACCAGAAATATGACAGAAAATTTCTTACTGCCTTAAAAAAATAGCAGCACCAACAAAACCTAGTTTTTATCTGTTAGCTTAAGGTAGGGAGGAGGGTGCACATATTCCATAATTAGCTTTTGGGATAGAAGAAACAAATGAAGGAGTCTGTGAGGGCTTGTCATGGTGTATTAGAAGGTTTGAGGTAAGGGAAAGTTGACTTAATCCATCCAGAAAAGTTTTTTGCCTTTTTCCAGGCCAGTAAATGTTGGACCTAGTCCAGCTCAATTGAGTCCCAGTGATTTCAGTGCAGGGCATGTAAATCCAGACCCTTAGAGTAATACAGTTAAAATGGTTTCATTATGTTTCTGTAGCTCAATACTTGCAAAGGGCTGCCTAAAATTCTGCTTTTACATTCCATACCTGTAAAACAGGAGGTAATTTTATCGGCAGATTAGAAACAAGTACTGTTCATTTCTGTATATGTGCTCCATAGTGCAAAGCACAGGCCACGGTTATTCTTTTTCCTCCATTAATTGTTCCACATCTTCCTGTCTCCCAAAGACAATCACACCTCCTAATTCCTGTACTCTTGCTTGTGGATGGGTATGAAGTTGTTGCCCTGTCCCTGGAGGTGTTCAAAGCCAGGTTGGATGGGGCTCTGAGAAACCTGGTCTAGCGGAAGGTACCCAGCCCTTGGGCAGGGGCTTGGAACTAGATGATTTTGAAGGTCCCTTCCAACCCAAACCTTTCGGTGATTCTATGATAATTTCTGCTATGAGAAGTGTGGAGTTTTGATCCCTTCAGGTTGAAGGGAAAAGAATACTAAGGTCTCACTGTTCTCAGCAGATGTTCCAAGTGTTTTGCTACTCCCCAACATTTTAAAAATAAACTGTGATCGGATTTATTCCCTGTATTACAGTCCTACATCACAGTCAAGCTACAGAACTCGAACATTTGTAACAGTGGTGATGATACTTTCTATATTTGATTTAAAGTGTTCCTGGGAGGACAGATAGGGAAGGTAGAGTGACCCCTTCTATTTCATTCATAGATTGGTGTCATCACTAACTCTTTATAGTTTCATTCCTACCTCCTACAGCTGGGAAGTGTGTGTCTATCTCTACATGACTCTGCTAAGGGCAGGCTTGAAGTGTGTCATATATCCCTAGGTGGTTACCAAAAGTATATCGAGGTAGATATACTTATGATAACTCTTAAAGATAGTAGGTAAGAAGAACCATTCTGTTAAATGTATGCAATAAATATATGAAGATTAGCAAGTAGTAAAAACCAAAGGGGTTATAAAAATCCACCGCAATCTGAAGGATTCAAGCTCAAGACAAAAAAATAAAAAAGGAACAGATATCAGTGCTACTCTTTAACTCATAATAAGATTTGATAAAGAAAAAGTTAATTTCTCATTAACATAATGAAGTATTTTCCTAATGATCAGATCCCTTAGGGAAGTCAAATAAAATAAATAATAACAATTAAAAAAAAAAATTAAACATCTAATGGGAATCTGGACTGACCCAAACATGAGAAAGAACTTCTTTACTGTGTTGGTGACTGCGCACTGGAACAGATTGCTCAGAGAGGTCATTGATTCTACCTCACTGGAGATATGCAAGAAGTTTGGACGCAATTCTCTGCAATGTGCTCAAGGATGACCCTGCTTGAGCAGGGAGGTTGGACTAGATGACCCTCTCAGGAAGTCCCTTCCAATCTTATGCATTCTGTGATTCTGCAACTACCCAAAGTGCTATAGAAACAACACTATAGTACTGTACAAAAATGAGCAGTCTTACGTTGGACTAGCCTTACAGATTCTCTTCCACTTTTTAGCTTTACTGTACTGGATAATTCATAGTGGAGATAGATAAATCTGAACCAATGATTGCAAAAGTCTGTCTCTGTTTCTCAGTAGACCAAACCAGGGAGATGTGGACCCAACTCCTAACCGCTTGGTGACCACCCAGAATTCTAATGGAAAAAGGAAACAAATATTTCCATTTAGTGGTGATCCCTACCCAGATCACAATGCTGAAGTACCCTCTATGCAATCAAAAAGCTTCACTGACCCAAATCAAGCCTGAATTCATAGCCTTAGCCTTGGGAGAACGATTTTCTGCGAGAAAGATCTCTGGAGCTACAGAACTGCTGTAGAAATCTCTCTGCAATCCAAACATCTACTTGTTACTTGGATCGAGTGTGGTCTAGATTCCTTAATTTATGTCAATCCCCAGCAGTTTGTAATGGCCCCTAAAATAATCCTTAATTTATCACAACTGTTGGAAGGCAGCCCAGCAGGGCAGTTGAGATGATAGCTTGACCAAAGGCAGGAGATGCTTCTCATAGCAGCTTTGACAGAGAGGAGAATCAGAGCCACTGACTAGCATCACTAAGCTTCAAAAGATCCCAGTGTTCTTGCTTTTGTGAGGCATATTCATTGGAGATCTGGAAACTGTCAGCTTGTTCCAGCTTTGTAATACCCTCAGGGAGGAAGTGAATACCCTGCTGACTCTGAAGATGTGCAACTCTAACTGCACTAATTCAACAGTAACAATGAGTCAGGGCAAGCAGACCTACCACTACAAAGAGGACACTAGAATGGAGAGATGTTTAATTGGCAGATGTGCACTGCTTGGCATTGCTGGAGACAATGAAATTCCACATTCGTGAGCAGTAATGGAGATTTTATCTGATGTACAATACAATACTCTAGAGAGAAACTGGATGTTAATCCCCTTTTCATGGTATACCCCTTTCTGGCAATGAATACACTTTTCAATTAAAATACATTCTTTGGAGTTATTTCAAGCTTTCCAGAGTAAAGAACTATGACCCAGGATTAATTAAGAAGGGCCAAATTTGATCTCATTTGTGGGAGTGTAAATGTGTTGTAACTCTATTCCCAGCCTAGCAAGGGAAGACATTTACTCTTGGTTGGTAACTTTACTTATTTTTTTAGAATATTTGGTCAAGAAAAAATAAGGCAGTTTTATCCTCCAGCTGATACTCTGTGGAGTCCATCTTCATGTGGATCAGCATCAGATGTATATGCCCCTGTCACATGAATTGAAAACATAATTCCTCAGATGCACACCAGTTACTGGAAAGATTCACAACCATTTCCAGTTAAGTAATGATGGCAACCAGACTCTCCACACTCTGCTATGGATGGTGTTTGCATGTGGACAGCATGCTGCGTACACAAAATTGAGATGTGGCGTGGAAATCTTACATGAACTGATTTGCGGGGCCAATAAAAGGCATCCCTTGGCAAGCTCGATAGAGTGCTACTGAGTAGACCTGAAAAGCATTTGAAGTATGTAAGAGAGTTTTCCTTTGAACTGATAAAAACAGAGGACAACAAAGGTTAATCTGATGATCAAACTAGTTTTATTGCATATTTGAGATGTCTCTGGTCATCAGAAAGGGCTGGGAGGGAGCTGTCCAGGAGAGGGAGACGAGGGAAAAGACCAAAGCCATGTAGCTGGTGACAACAAATGCAAATGGCCAGAATTCCTATCTGATATATTTTTACTTAATTTTACAAAGCAAACACAGGGGAGGGAAAGTAGCAAAAAAAGGTCGATAGTATTTTACAGTGGAAGTTCAATAGTACAACATTGTTCTTTCACCAACATAGAAAGAAAAACAGCAAAAAAAGAAATCACCAGCTGAGTGTTTGGACATGTTCCTTTACTGTTTCATTAATCCACCTTCATTTATTTCTATCTTGATAGTGTGATCCATAGCAGTTGATTAAACTGTAGAGAGTGGCAATTTATTCAGCTAATGTGAAGTAAGCGAAAGATAAGCACATGTTACATGAGTCTTGCAAAATTGATATAATAATCCCTAACTCTGTGTGCCTTCTTCAAAACAAAGTATCATCACACTTCTATATTGAACTACCACCAGGTATTATGGCAAGACATAGTAATTGATAGAATTAGAGGACTGGTGATGTTCTCAGGAGTATATCTGAAAAACAAAGTACATTGAGCATGCTCATTCACCTTTGCATTAGACCTGTGTTTATGCAATTAAATTTTGCTGCTTTAGGAAGGTTGTGAACATAAACAGTTTCATTTGGTATTCATATTGCTTTCATCATTGCATTTTACTGCAATGAAACAGCAAGCTAAAAAATCCAAACATGTATGAGAAAAAAATAAAAACAATAAACTTTTTTCACTATCTAGTTCTTTGTTATTCTTGAATATTTTAATGCTATTTAGTGATGGAATCATGTGGCATTCATTCCACCCATGTAAATAGAAACATGATCTAGACTTCTGTTAAAGGATGTTTGTGTGCATTATTTTTTAAGTGGAAGCTGGTGGAAGAAAAATAAATCCACTGGGTTATTTCAGATTTATTTCCAATGGGTTTCAGAACTTTAAAGTGCTTCTAAAATTATATTAACTGAAACTCAAGTAGACCCCTATTGAGTACAGTCATGGTGCTGCAGCGACAATCATGAGGCTTAGAAAACTGTTTCACAGATGTAGACAGCCTTGATGTCTCTAGTGCCCATGTAATGTTCCCCCCTTTCTCTCTCCACATGGTTTCTTCCCTTTGCTCATTTTTCTTATTGAATTTTATTTTTTTACAAAGGAGAGGGGAGGGAAAACACAGCTGTTGACTCTCACAGTTCTGCAACATGGTAAGACAAATCTCAGAGGTGGTCAAGATTCAAAGGCTTGCTGGGAAGCCCGTGCCTTTTGGCTTCTGCCCTCTATTATTTCTTAATCAGCATTCATTGGTATTGCCTTTGAGAAAAGAAAAGAAGAAGGAAGGGGAAACGAGGGTCTGATCTTCGTGTTGTCCATCGGGCTTCCTCACTGTACAGCATCTTAAATAGCAATTTCCCTAATTTCTCTGTGGTATTTAACTTTGGTATTTCACTATCATCAACACCACCAGTCTTTTGTAAAATTCTTGGTCATTCTTAAGCCCTGTCTCTATTCTTTCCCTACAACAGGTGTCTGTCATCAGCGCTTCCTAAGAAAGGCCCTATTGAAATCCTTTCCCACACCCTGCACTTGCTGTGTGCCTGTATATATTCTTTTGTTACCTGACTTGGCTTGTCAGTCAGAGCTTTGTGAAAGGGTTTCAGAGACAGGAGCACCCAAGTAAGTGACATACTGCACTCTACCACTGCCCTGATGTTCAACTTTGGGCAAGTCAGTAGCACATGTGTAACATTCAAAAGCTGCATTTGTCAATATTTAATAGTGCATGTTATATAAATGACATTATAACTTCTGCTTACTAGCACAGTAATAGGCTGTTTAAACTATATCCAACTAGTAATAAAGTGGACAAGAAATTTCCCAAGTTTGAAGAACAGCATAAAAAGAAAGGGGGAGTATATATATATAATAATAATAATTAAAAGAAGATAGGGAAACAAACCAAAGAGATTAGAGTCAGGAATTAGTCTCAAAAAAATTCAACACAGGGTCCATTGTAATGAATTACAGAATCAGTAAGGTTGGAAAAGACCTCTGAGATCATTGAACCCAATCTTTGACCAAACACCACCTTGTCAACTAGATCACGGCACTAACTGCCGCATGCAGTCTTTTCTTAAACACCTCCCGGGGCGGTGAGTCAACCACCTCCCGAGGCAGTTCATTCCAATGTTTATTCACCCTTTCTGTGAAGAAATTCCTTCTGATATCTAACCTGAACCTCTCATGGTGCAGGTTGAGGATATGTCCTCTTGTCCTGTTGCTAGTTGCCTGGGAGAAGAGACCAACACCCACCTGGCTAAAACCTCCTGTCAGGTAGAGAGTGATGAGGTCTCCCCTGAGCCTCCTCCTCTCCAGGTTAAACAACCCCAGCTCCTGCAGGTGTTCCTCATAAGACTTGTCCTCCAGTCCCTTCATCAGCCTCATTGCCCTTCTTTGGACCTGCTCCAGCACCTCAGTGTCCTTCCTGAATTGAGGGGCCCAGAACTGGACACAGGCCTCGAGGTGCGGGCTCATCAGTGCCAAGTACAGGGGGACAATCACTGCCCTGGTCCTGCTGACCACACTATTTCTGATACAATCCAGAATGCCATTGGCCTTTTTGGCCACCTGGGAACACTACTGGTGGCTGTGGACCAGCATGCTCAGGTCCTTTTCCTCTGGGCTGCTTTCCAACCACTCTGCCCCAAGCCTGTAGCGCTTCATGGGGTTGTTGTGGCCAAAGTGTAGGACCCAGCACTTGGTCTTGTTGAACCTCATATCACTGGTCCTGGCCCATCTAAATAGCCTGTCCAGATCCCTCTGCAGTGCCTTCCTACCCTCATGCAGATTGGCACTCCCACCCAACTTGGTTATGGGTAACTTTCAAAAGTTTGGGAAACAGTAAGTCAGACCATAAGTTTCTATTTGGAAATATGATAACTGTGAGACTTCAAATGTCAAACCACCATGCAGAGTACTAAAACACATCCAACAAAGTGAAGAGTTAGAATGCAGTGTGTTTGGAAAATGTGTGCTTCTTTTTAGTTGAGCAAACTTCTGAGACGTGAGACTGCAAAATATCTTTTTAGCAGCTGAATCTCCACTGAGGATTCTCTAAAATTGGCCATGCAACATCAAACTTTGTGATACACTGAGGGTCTCTGCATCTCTGCATCTGAGATACTGTTTCCGTGGCCACAGACTGCAATCTGAGCACTGGCCTTAGTGAAACCCAGATTCCCAAAGCAAAAAGCAGGGGAAACGGTGAAATACCAAGAAGCAGGAAAACAAATCAACTTACAAAGTCCAGGTACATATCTGGTCCTTCACAGAATCAAGCAGGAGAAAAGGACAGCATCCTGGAAGTGCTCAAGGCCCAGCTAGATGTGGCTTTGAGTAACCTGGTCTGGAAGTGGAAGGTGTCCCTATCCATGGCAGAGGTGTTGGAATGAAATGATCTTTAAGATCCCTTTTAACCCAAACCATTCTGTGATTATACGATTCTAAAATCCTGTCAAAACAAACTCTGTGGGGTTTGCAAAGCTTTTGTTCTGTTGCATTAAACTTAATTGTTGGATTCTTCTCTAACTTGCATTTCTGAGTCACTTGTTTTTAATTAAGCCTCTGACCAACATATTTTCTTGGATCTTGCTAGTGTGTCCCTGAGAGCACCCTCTATATTCAGAGTTTACTTCCTACTGTTCTCATCCTAAAGACAAAGCAGTGTTGTTCCTTTATTAGGCAAACTTCTTCTGCCTTGATGTGTGAACTGAGCACGACCCATTTTGTCATTATTTATCACCCTTTCTAAAGGTATCTCCTTGTCAGATCCCAGCCTCCTAAGGTCCAATATACCATCAGAGCAGACATTTATAGCAATATTGACTCACAGAAATAATATGGAAAAGGAGGGACTTTATTTGACGAAAGAGCCAGGTGCACTGGCATTCATTCCCTATCAGTATCCTATTGTATTTCACAGTTTCTGCCAGGCATAGATAGTTTTCATTCCCATTGTGAGTTAAATGGAAGCTTTACCGTCAAATGAAGGTTGGAACTGGATGATTTTTAAGGTCCCATCCAAACCATGCTACGAAATGCTGGAAACACAATGCACTGAACCCTCCAAAGACATGCCCTTTGGAAGAAATCCTGCCTCTTTTCCTACTACCCTGCAGTAGCTTAGGGCTGCACATCTTCCTCTGGAGAACTGTCCATTCCTAGGACCCTACACAACCTTATCACAACATCCCAGCCTTTAACACCGTTGACCATTCTGATCCAAACACAGCTTCGCATTGCTGCCTAACAGGACAAAGAGCAGCTCTGAAAGGAAAAAAGCAAAAATGAAACAAACAAGCAAGCAAAAAACATGTTGGGGAAAGAAACACAAATAGCCAGAGTGTGTGATTTGGTCTCTTCTGTGCATTGGTAGAGGCTGGTTTGAATTTACACCCTTGCAAAACCAGCAGCAGTGGCTAGGTCAGGGGACTGGACGTACTGTAAAGGAACACAAGGTCCAATACTAGGCCCAGAATTGTTTACTTATTCGGCAGTGACTTGGATGAACGGAAGGTGGTGCCTCTACAGCAAGTTTGTGGAGGGTACAAAGGTGGGAGGAGCGGCCAATGTCCCGGAGTGCAGTGTAGCCCTTCTGAAGGGCCTCGACAGGTTAGAGAGATGGGTAGAGAAGAACATTCTGAAATTCATCAAAAGCAAATGCAGGGTCCTGCACCTGAGGAAGAATAACCCCATGAACAAGCACAGGCTGGGGGCTAATGTACTGGAAAGCAGCTCTGCAGAGAAGGACGTGGGGGGCCTGGTGGACAGCAAGATGTCCATGAGCCAGCAGTGTGTCCTTGTGGCCAAGAAGGCCAATAGTATCCCAGGGTACATTAGGAAAAGCATTGCCAGCAGTTCAAGAGAGGTGATTCTGCCCCTCTACTCAGTCCTGGTGAGGTGCATCTTGACTGCTGTGTCCAGTCTGGGCTCCTCAGTACAACATAGACATGGAGCTCCTGGAGCAGGTCCAGTGGAGGGCAACAAAGATGATTAAGAGATTGGAGCATCTCTCTTGCAAGGAAAGGCTGAAGGAACTGGACCTGTTCAGCCTCAAGATGAGATGACTGATAGGGGACCTCATCAACGCATATAAGTATCTGAAGGGAATGTGTCAAGAGGATGGATCCAGGCTCTTCTTGGTGGTGCCAAGCACACACACTGGAACAGACTACCCAGAGTTGTTGTGGATTCTCTCTCACTGGAAATATTAAAGAGTGTCTTGTACAAAGTTCCATCCAGTGTGCTCTAGGATGACTCTGCTTGAGCAGGAAAGTTGGACCAGATGACGCACTGTGATCCTTTCCAACCTTACCCATTTTGTGATTCTGCTATTCCATGATTCCGGGAATACAGAAATAGGTTCGTCATTTTCCTCTGGTGGCTCTCTGCAGCCACATCACTGCAAAGTATGTGATCCTGTGGAGCACAGAGCAGTAGAGATTTGGGTCCCTGGAGCCCAGGGTTGGGAAAGGACCTATCTGTTCTATAGATAGATGGATGAAATACAGTATGAAAGAATATAAAACACAGTAAAGCATGAGAACAAACTTAGCTATGCCTAGACAAAGGACTTATAGTTGCTGCCTTCTCACCTTCTTTCTCATGACTGCATGGAAAATAAAAACATTCATCGCTATAAATAGAACTGCTAAGGAAGGAGGACAAATCCTGCATCATTCATGAACATGAATCTCAGACATTCTGCCAGAGCATAACTTAAACATTTGCTTACATCTAAGTGAGCATGATCAAAAACTGCATGCTTCCCTCAAGGCTTTCATTCAAAAGAGAAATAGAAAAAGAAATGCACTCTACCTCTGTTACTAGATGCATTGTATAAATGAAAATTAGTGTAAACAGTCTAGAGATAACTAAATATTGAATGCACAGGATTTATATAGCTTGAAGGAAAACAGTAATTGGTTAAGCTCATGAGAGAGCTGAAACTTCACATTGTATTGTTTTATTCTTTAGCAAACAGAGAAAGAAATGGGTAAAAAAGAGCTACGGTACTATTCATAGGTCATCATTATCTCCCTGAGTACCAGAAGGGAATGCCTTCATCTTTAGGCCCCTACAGTCACAGGCAATTATATCAAATTCTAAGACCTACCTAAATTAAGACACTCTGATGGATCCGTTTTTCCCCCAGGGATTGGCATAGCCCACAACAGACACAGCAACCCCACCCTGAAGATGCCTGATTTGGCAGGAAGGCTCCTAATGCAAACACCGAGTTATTCAACAACAGAGCCAAGCCCTTGCCCACACAACATCCACTCACATACCCTGAGCAGAAGTCGTAAATCACTCCTCTAGACAGCGTAACAATGGAAAGACCTTCAGCACCTATATCCACAAGAGGTAAAATCTACATTGAGTCACCTATAAAAATGAGGGTAAACTAAGGGCATGACCAGTGCTGTAAATCCCCTATAAGGTGGGAAATATTGGAGGAAAATTCTTCAATATGCCACCCACCATTTTTTTAAGGAAAACTTCATCATTCCTGCTAATATCACCCAGGGAAAATTTTTTCACGAATATGGGAGACTGTCAGTGAATCTGGCACATCGGCCTGCTCTGTCAAAGGCTCACTCTCCAGTCAATCAGTTAAGTCCACTTAATGAGCAATAGTTAATCAAGTTAATGACTGCAAACTTAAGGATTGGATGTTACCAGGAAGCTCAGAGCTTTTCTCCCTGGGGTGCTACTGTCTACAGCCTTCACGGTTGTTTCCTGTTTATGTTAACGTATCCTTCAAGGCCAGATATGTATCTTACTATAAGTTTGCACAGTGCAGAGCACAACCAAGCTTTGGTGCCATTGCAATGCATATCTGCTAGGTTTTTTAGTAGATATTCCCAGTGACTTCAACAGGGAAATGTGCTGCAAAATT